AGTACGTCGGGTACATGGCTAGAATGGGGAAAATACTGCACTTTTTGATTGGAATATGCCACTTTCTGTGGTAATAGTTAATACCAAAAGGCAACTTTTGAGATAGGGAGCCACTCGAAAATCCGTGCAGGAAACCAAAATGGTGGCCGTCAAAATGGCGCCATTACCCGCAATATATTTTTCTGTATCTCTGCTCCTAATAGTCCGATCTTAATTTTCTTTTTTTTTATTGAAAGCTCTTGTGACGAGGAAACTTTTTTGCTATATAACATTTATCTCTAAAACTTAAGGATTTAGCACAATTTAAAAAAAAGTGTTTTTTTACGAATTTGAATCACAAGTAAGCTTTTAATTGTGCAATATCCCGGTCTTTTCGACAAAAAAGGCCATCGTTTAGAAATTCAATCGATACAACCCCAAAACTCCTTGTATCTACCCTGCAAGTTCGGAAAATTTCAATCCGCCATGTTTTTTTTTGAAAAAATGCGCAATATTTGTTTCATCAGGCACGAAATCAAGCATTATGAAAATTGAAAGGAAAAGCCTCGTCAATTTTTTTCTCTGAAAAACAGAAAATACACTCTGCTTTTAAAGAAACACTCAGTATAGCTGGCAGTATAGCAACTTTAACTCTTACTCTCGCTCTTATTTTACTTAACTAGTTGGTTTAAGCTACAACGAATGTGAAAATTGGAGTGCTTATTTATCAGATCATGGGTTTTTTCGATGGTTTTCTCTCGGGTTTTCTTTAAGAATATTAACGGAATATTATGATTTCCAAGTTTTAGATACCTATTCATATAAGTTGAATCATTTTTATTATACAGGGAATCCACCTTCTGTAAGCGGACGATAGAGCCTCAATCTCGGCCTCAATGGTTGAGATTAATGGTAACGGTTTGTTGGTACGAGAAGCCTGAGGGGAAGCCTAAAACGTATTTTTAGGTATATAGGGTGTTCTCGAGGGCAGCCTATACATTTTGATATTTTTTATAGGTATCCCCGGGTATCCCTTAACAAAAGAATTATTTTTGTAGGTCTTATCGGTTTTTTTTTCGTAATGCTAACCGCGAGGCTAACCGTTTTCCGGATATGCTTTTTATACAGGGTAAAAATTTTATCTTCAAATCATTTTTTAAAGAAGCTTTTTATGACATCCATAATTATAAAAAGTTTGCTACCAATCCACGTACATTCAATTTGGGGTCAGTAGCATACTTCTACACAGTCAAAGGGGACATACTGTTTTTAAATAGCAACCACTATTTTCTTGACGTAGTGAATTATTTGTCGATACAAATTGATACAATAAAATTTATACAGATTTTAGGAAGGCATTTGATAAAGTACATCACGATTTGTTGTTAAGAAAGCTTTATCAGTATGGCCTATCAATCAATTTGTTACACTTTTTTGCTTCTTATTTACGCAGTCGCAAACTTGCAGTGAAATTTAATGGTAACACATCAGGCAAATTTGAAGCTAATTCTGGAGTACCGCAAGGCTCTATTTTGGGACCTTTGCTGTTTCTGATTTTTATAAATGATCTGCCTTCTCAGTTTAGTAACTGTCAATCTTTACTTTTCGCGGATGACCAAAAAATATTTATGCCTATAACCAGTATTTCTGATTGTTTAAATCTTCAAAATGATCTTAATAAATTGTATCAGTGGCGCCGTTTGAATAAATTACCTCTAAACATAAAAAAGTGCAATGTATTATCGTTTTAGCGCAAGAAGAGTACACTCTTTTTTAATTATGAAATTAACGGGTTAAGTTTGGAACGTGTAACTTCCATAAAGGATCTTGGAGTAACTTACGATGATAAAATGAACTTTAATAAACACATAAATATTACAGTGGCTGGTGCATACAAAACTTTGGGTTTTATTGTGAGGCAAACCAAGAATTTCAAAAACATAAGTACAGTTAAACGACTTTATTTTACATTAGTTAGACCAAAGCTTGAATATGCTAGCACAGTTTGGCATCCGAACACGTGTAATTCAATAAAAGCAATTGAAAAAGTCCAAAATAAGTTTTTACGATTTCTCTATTATAAAAAATTTGGCACTTATCCTAACTATAACAGTGTTAGATCGGTTGATCTAAGGAAAGTTTTTGAAATCCAAAGCTTAGTGAATAGGAGAAATATACTGTAATATTTAACATTTTTTCCAAACAATTAATAAAACATTATGATTTCAATTAAGGATAAAAGAAAAAAATTAGTAGGGCTTCTTACACCCCAACAGTATCATATTTTTTTAATTTTTTGTATGCGAAAGTTTGTATCATTTTTTAGTTGAATGTCATTATTAGATTATATACTTATTATTCAGCAACCCTTCATTAATAGATAATAGATACCTGCTACGTAATTAGGGCTGTGCCCTGTGTAGTTTGTAACAATAAATAAATAAATAAATAAAACTCGTTTTTCAAATAATTGAATTTTAATATTTCTTTAGCTAATCGACTTCGAATCGTATAGACCGATTCATCATCAGACCTTAAGAGTCAGAATATTGTGCTGAATAATACAAATCCTTACATATTAACATTTGACGTGGACAAGTTACACATAAAAATCGGGTTGAGCTTACTTGTGATTCAAATTCGTAAAAAAAACACTTTTTTAAAATTGTGCTAAATCCTTAAGTTTTAGAGATAAATGTTATATAGCAAAAAAGTTTCCTCGTCACAAGAGCTTTCAATAAAAAAAAAGAAAATTAAAATCGGACTATT